GTGTGAGGGGCTACCAGTGTGTTGTGTGAGGGGCTACCAGTGTGTTGTGTAAGGGGCTACCAGTGTGTTGTGTAAGGGGCTACCAGTGTGTTGTGTAAGGGGCTACCAGTGTGTTGTGTGAGGGGCTACCAGTGTGTTGTGTGAGGGGCTACCCAAGGTGTTGTGTGAGGGGCTACCAGTGTGTTGTGTGAGGGGCTACCAGTGTGTTGTGTGAGGGGCTACCAGTGTGTTGTGTGAGGGGCTACCAGTTGTCTTGTATAATCTGAGACATCCAGATTAAGCTAGGTACATACTAGGAGGAGTGCTCACATAGATAGGTAGATCAGGTGGCCTTCATTCTTTTGCTTACTAGCAGCATCCTACCAACATACCTTTGAACTGGCCTGGTGCTGCCCCACTTTGGACAGTATCACAATGAAGCCTGAACTTTAAGCTGTGGGTGACAGCATGACGTTCCACAGCCAGGAGTTAGATGGTGTCAGCTGACTAGACTTAATTAGTGACTCACATAAGGACATATAAGCAAAACTCATCAGGTCATAGAAATAGGCCTCTGCAGAACAGGCCAGGGTTTAACATGACATCCCTAATCTCAGGGGCCTTGGACCCTGGTCTGTTCTTCAGTGGGGTCCTAGGTGAACTGTAGGGGTCCTAATTGTTCACATACAAATAATGACTACTGCAATGGTGAACCCTGATTAAACTGTTATATAGTCTAATTTATAAAGAGTTGTGTGATATTTAATAGATCTTAACATGCAAAAGAACATTTCATTCATCTGCCTTATTGAGTACAAAACATTGGTGACCATATCTCAATTTGAGTGGCCTACAAGCTAGCACCCAGGTGCTCATAAACGTATACAAACAATGTTTGTGATGCAACACAACACTCACTCACCATTGCTCACTCTCAGGGTATCAGCGGGTGTCCCAGGTATGGCACACCATCAGTCATGACTTGTTTTCTTATGGCTTACACAATGTCATAGTACCTGAATGTGGGTTTACATGTTTCATATAAGGGGTTTATCTAGGACTCTAAGCTAAGTGTCCTTGGCAGGCAAATTGGGAAGAAATTACATTATTTTGTTCAAAATTTGTCAAAGTTCTTTATTTCGTAAATTCTGAGGTGTTTTTACACTCCTGAAATGTGAAACTAAGCAGTAAAGCCACATCCTCTTAAGTGAGTGAGAGCGAGTGATTTTGGATTGACGCAACATTAGAAATTAGCACTGCATCCATGCCAAACTGACCAATAGTTATCAAAGGTATAAAAAAGGACTGGTGGACATTTGCCTTTCTTAACAATTAGTAAAACCGTTAATTTCTACCGCTGGAACTTTAACGCCGCCTAGAACAGTTTTCCAGTTATATAACGGCGTGTCAGCTTAATCAGATTTTATAAGAATAACAATTTTCAGAATTGTCACAGTAAAGTAAACATAGTAAAGTAGTATTGGACGTTTAACATGTATCACAATATTTTACGATGCACAAGGCCTTATTGTGGTAAGTATCAAAAGATATTGTATAATTAAACATTTTGAATTCAGAAGCAATGCAAGAATTGAAGTTTCATGAATGGAAAAAAAGTAGATGCTCGAACATCATAATGTTTACTCATTTAAAAATAAACACGTAAGGATGCACGCTCCGGGACAGCGATGGCTTGGTGTTACACCACTGCCACAGAAGAACTCCAGAATGTGAACTTGTATTTTGGAATTACAGAAACATTTCAAAGGTACTGGTACAAGTACTTGGCAAGTGTATCACATTAAACACATGATAGAAATCACTGTTTGAAATCACCCATTATACCGAGCATTAAAATATGATATTGTGATATGTATCATGGCAAGAATGAACCTCAATTTGCCGATATACCGGTAATAGTAATACCGCGCACTCTTAATGAATATTACTGATGAATATCAGCATTATTATGGGTAGCTTACATTCAGTCACCAAAGAGTCAGTTAATCTGAATAACCTGTCTATCATCGAGTCAGTCTTTCTATCATGACCCAATCACTTCAGATACATCCACCCCATAGTCTAGTGTTCAAAATTCTCAATGACACACACAGTTGATACAAAGACAACTGTCACCTACATCAGTGTACTTTAGCCTATGTGTTAAACTTCATTCAAATATTTTGTATTTTGTCAACAGCAGTAATAAGAAAATCTTGTTAAACACATAAGTCTAAGAGATAGAGTAAACAAGGTGAACACATTACAACAGACACCACCAGTTCTATCCAGCGAGACCTCCTTTAGGTCCAGTGGTTTATGTCACCTAACCAGATTTGGGGAGAAAACGCCTACCGGTAGTCCTTATGTTGCTACTAGGCTGTCACTTGACCAATAGAGAAGTGGCCGTGTCTTACCCGTACAAGGAAAGTCACTGCCCCTGCTCATCCACAGTCTTTGTGTACAATGAACATCAATTTGGTATACAATACATTAAAGAATCTCTAATTGGTGACAATTAGACTTACACAAGACTTATTTATTTGTGTATAATATGCACTCGTGTGTTATATGCACCCTTAATTACGGGCAATTAAATCCTGGAAAAATATATCTGTCGTGTATAATATGCACATACTTTTCTTTTGTATCATTTCGGGCTATCAGCATAAACCACGAAATTTACGATCTTTCAACTCTTTCACTAAAATTATATTCTAATAAGAGCCCCCTATTTCTAATTTGGAGAGCGCCCTGGCGCTTATTATGTCGAATACGGTAGTTCCTAATTAGATATTGGAACATCACTAAATCTTGCAAGTTCTTCTCAGTTGCTACTGTTGTATCTAACCTGGTATGAGTGAATCATGTTAAGCAGAATAGAGAAACTGAGATGTTCAGAGTGAGAGAAAACAAATTTAGATCATCATTGCAACCTTTTAGTTCACCATAGAGGCCACCCTTGACCATTTCAATTTCTCTCCATGCAAACAAGTATTAATAATCATAATAACCTCATTACGTTGATACAGCACATAGTTAGGCAAGGCGAAGCACTAGTTTGGGCCTATCTTTAGAATACAGCACCACAAACTTTTCAAACAGGTCACAACATCCTATGACGTAATTAGTAGTATTCTGGTGAATCACAATGGTGAAACAATGCCCTGTGACGTCAGGGGTCATTGAGTGTGCATAAGCTCCTCTCAGTGATCTATTCTCTCCACACACAATGTTGTTGATTAAGCCCAGTGATGTTGAGAGTTTTGAATATTTGTTAACTAAATATAGTCTGTGGCAGCACATTTTATAGCAAGCTCTAGTTTATGAAAGCACTTTTATTTTCAATATATTTTTTATTTCGTTTTTTTTTCTCAATTAAAATGGCTAAAATGATTAAAAATGTGAACTAATATACATATATTATCTTTTTTATTCATTTATTTTCATTATTATGCACAGGAAGGCAGTTTACTAGGTATATTATATTGGTGCTGAACACATCCAAATGTTGCCGGTGTTAGGGTAGGTTACCCCGAACTCTATCCTTAGCCACTTTCACCTGCTACATTTATTCAGTAATGATTCAGAAGCGGACTCACCCTTGTGGCGTCACTACCCATGCTTATTCCTCCCTTGTTCCTTACTTTGATCCACATTAGCCTAACAGTGTTCCCTACCACACTTCTCTATCACAAATATCACCCGACAAATTATTAAATACCATGTCATTCTGGCATACCCGTGAGGTCGACGTCTGACGCCTGGAACCGTTTTCAGTTCGCACCATAACGGCGCATTCCTCACGACTCAGTATCTTGTAGATGACGGAATGAGACGAGTGTGCCAAATGGCATTGGGATCACCTGTTAAGCATCTGTAGACTAAAGTCACGAGAAACCATGGCCACCAGTGGCCTTCATAAGTGTCCTGTCACTTATTTGACCCTTTTCATTCAGTTACGTAACGTTGTAGGGATGACTAGGTAAATTTGAACTTAGTTTAACAGAGTGGACGTAGCTCATTCGTTAGCTGGCAGGCTAACAATCCCAGTTTGCATGCAATGGATTCTCACAAAAACTGGTTGCGTGTCTTTGAGACACCTGACCTACGGCAGAGATCGTCCTGACGAGAATTTGTGGTACTGTTTTTTTAAAGGTGCTCCCTAGTTTAACCGATGATCAAGACAGGCTTATCTCCACCATGTCTACACTAAGATGTCTACTTCATAAGTAATTGTCAATGCTTGGGCAGTACCTCCATCTTGAAATTAATTTAGATTTTTATTTATACCTGGCTTGAAAAAGAAGATGAGAAAGTGGTAACATGGACAAGTCAGTGTTCAAAATAGATAATAAAATCAAGGGGTCCTTGTCATAAAGCTAACACGAGAAATATTAGGTTAGGAGTTACCTAAATAAATAAAATACTCAAGGATACAAATTTAAGCAAACCCAACATGATTGCAAATGAGAAGATGGTAGCATGAACACAGGAAAGAACAGTGGCATTTACAACCTGTAAAATGTGAAATGTAAATGTGTCCTTTGGAAAGGACTTCCTTAGTTTAAACTAAAGAAAATAAGAAAAAAAAATCTTGCGTAATTATGATGAACAATGTTCTTCCTCATCACACTGTCAATAGTATTAACAACCCACCCACCCACAAAATCTCACACTCATCATCAGATGCATAACAGCAGGCGCAGCACCCCCCACACACATCACCGAACACCACCCCGTAATGCGCCACACCCTGAAGAACGGGTTTGGGGTTTTCATCAGCAATCAGTGTTCATCTCGGCCTCATGAATTAAATTTAACGTCAAATAATTTGGTTCCGCTGTGCAAATGTGTAGCAAATGCTGAAGCAAATAATGTTATCTTCTGAGAGATATTATAACTAAACATCAGATGAATCACTGGTCTAAATATATACCGAGCGTGGAGTCAGCGTGATCGCGATGGATGAATGGTGATGACTCTAAATGACAGTGACTGATGCTGCCTTGGTTACCTACCTCTCGTAAATATATCTGAGTCCCAGCAGCAGAAACCCAACGAAAAACGATTTGTTCATATCGGAGAACTTTGGGTAATATATATCTGGGTCTGTGCTTTCCAAATCTTTCCATGATGTCCCGTTAGCGAACCAAAATGTATCACTCCAAAGCACATTTTCAGCCGCTCTCAGCATCGCCGCCATTTTAACCGGTGTAGATTGATACTGCACCCGATGCGAAAAGATCGGCTCTATCACCTCCGGGGATGTTTGTGAGTGTTCGGAGCAATCTTTCAAATGCGGTCATATGCATTGAGCGGCCCTTTACGGATGCTCGACTGACATACAAAACCACAGACTGTTAAGATATGATTGGTCAACAGCACCGCCAGCGTGTAGTATAAAGCAAACTATCCAGGAGATGATTTGTATGCAGATTTATATTACCGTACATCTATAAGTAATCGCACTGGTATTATGTTTTTTCACAACCTTGTTCTGATTTGCATTTATTCAAGACAGGCTTGGTATATACAATATTATATTGATAAGCATAATTTGAAATTGACCAGTATCAGGTAGTTTTGTTCAAATGAAAGCCTTGTACAAATGGATGTCGTATACACGGGTAAGTTAGGGGATCTGTCCTGACGTTCATTCAATGTTGGCGTTGACGCTTGTGATATTGGTGTATCGCGATACCCGTGCCAGCGCTATAACGGACTTTCATTCGTTTACCGATATAAAAAAATGTACATATAATATTAGAATTAGACACGACGAGTGGCAAAGCAAAACGCTAACGTTTTAAGAGCGCTTCAACTTCGGGGTAAACATTTCATGTAATTTTGTTGCTCGTTGAAAATATTATTTGCAAGGTTGACTGTAAGATTGTAGGGAATGTGTCGTTCTACAATCCTTTCGCAATAGGCTGTATGCCAGTGTGCATTGTTCATCTTGAGATGTAGGCCTATGGTGTATCTCGTTAGGCCTACACTCTAGCGTTTCATCAGGACTTTACGGTACATATAGATTTATCATCTGCAATCTTTGACTCACTTTGACCCAGCAAGACCACGCACACACAGTTATGTTTAGAGATACGACTTTATCTCATGAGTCTGAGTTGTAGTTGTTAACAACATGAGTTTAACCCTCTTGGTGCCACGGGACCATATATGGTCCCTCACTTTTCACACTCTCTTAGAGCCAATGTCCCTTTTAAACTGTGAATTAAGATGTCAAACACTGAGTGCGCATACTCAAAATTATAAAAATCACCACCCTAATCATCTCAGCTTTAACATCGTGTAACTCATATTTTATACAGTGGTACGCATTGCGAAATATGTTGAGATTAGTAAAGTTGTTACAGCGCTTCTCGACTTTTTCTGCCATGTTGAACTTCATGCGAATAACGGCGATTTTTTTTATTATGCACCCATGCATGTCACATACACGCAACTTTTATGACATCAGACAGCCTATTTGAAAATGAAATCTGATCAGAACGGTCAGAAAGATTTACTTTTCCTCACTGTACAGTTATTGTCGTAAGACTACTAACGTTTAGTCCGCAGCGGAAGTTTATTGTTCAAGTATTGCATATGTTTATCGACTGTGTGCCATGGCGATTTAACACGGCGCTATAGAGACGAAAAGACAGTGCAGATTGTGTTTCTGTTTATGATGATTTACAAATATTCAAATCTAAGATATGGAAAGTTAGCTACGATCGTTAATATTAAGGTGGTAGAGGGTATATTTATGGGCGTGAAATTTAAGTTCATGATCAAAACGTAAACATTGAATGGCCATGCCCTAAGTGATCGACAGGGCACGTTAAAAATCTTATCATAGCTGTGTCCTTCATGCTTGCCCGTTTAGACAATGGCGGTGTTTCCCTTCATTGCAGGCGTCGTCCACCTGTATCACCGATGCCGGACAGGTTGTCGTCTTGTTCCTGGTATCTGAAGTTTTCTGCAAACACCAAATGAAATAAAAATATGACACACTTACTTACTTAGATTATACTTATATCATATTCTTATGAGATATAAATAAATGTTTGTGTTTAAAAACAAGTATAAATATATTTACCCGAACGACGTACGTGAATCCATAATAAGCCACAAGCTTCTTTTTAATAACATCTCACAATTATCGGTGTTTGCAAGTTACAATGTAAGTTTAATATAATTTATTTGACCAAGGTAAAAAAAATAAGGTGCCGTTTTCGCCAGGCAATAGGAAACATAAAATAACAAGTACGTAACATAGGCTGAGCTCGAACACTGACTCTTGCCTGGCGTCCATCTTCTAAACTGATGGTTTACAGGTTGTGGTGTTTGACATTTGGTTCTTTCTGTCTTAAGCTGTCTGGACATAGTTTGTCAGTGGTATCATACTGAACAGACATTTGCGCTTAAATAAATTACAACTTAAATTTCAAATATGTATTGGTTTGTTAGTTTTAATTAGGAATAATAACCCTTCACGGCACCGGAAGCAGTCAAGATTTTAGTCACGTGACCTCTATCAGTAAAATGATTGGCTCAAACCTATCGTCTACTGTAGCAGTGTTACTAATGGTACTGTTGTGGTGGACGATAACTTTAGGATTATATCTTGGCTATTGCATTTTTATGCTCAATCATGGCTACATAATTGTGTGTTTCAACTGTTACGTTTCTTGGCACTCACTTGGAATACCAGTGGTTTACACTACTTATCATGATGCAACTTCCAAGTGACACCACTGGAGATTTGTCAAGAAAGGTATGAACATATTGGAATTCTGACGCCTCTAAAACTAATGAGTTTTCAAGTGGAAAATATCAAGAGTGCATTTTTTTACCAATAAGGCTTGTGTATGCTTTAATATTATTTAAAACGTTAAACGCTCGTAGAATTTTTCATCTTGTGAATGTATGTGCTTTTATGCCATCCAAAAAGTCAGAAAGGAAATAGAAACAAAAGCTGGAATGATGTTATTCCTCCTGAGAAAAAATGTAAGACATCGTATCATTATGGTAGCCCATGCAGCCCGTCAGGTATGCATACAGTTGGGAACATTTTATCAAAGATGGTCCTCATCATGAAATGAATAAACCTTATCACCCAGGTGAAAAGCATTAATATTCAGTGAATGAATTTCGTAACATGGAAAACTAATAAAAGTACAAAAACATAGTTGTTTTAGTAGAAACCTCTGTTTATCCAGTTGACAGAGGCAAGAGAGTGAATATGTCTTCTGCTAGCAAATTGTATTTACTGTTTGTAGGTCGCACTTGAGAACGAGACTTGGTTTTTACGGGGAAAAGATATCAATTACAAAATTGAGGCTAAGCTCGCTCGCTGAGGTGCCCGTTTTCGCTATAACCCGTGATTTCCAGCCGCTGTGAATTTCGTCTGGACAGGTGCGCGTGATTTGACCTCGCGCGTTGTGACGGGGATGACGTCACACTAGGGTACGTTGCAAGCCACGAATCGCCTAGGGAAAGCCGCCATTTTAGGTTGAGAACGAAGCGACCTCAGCCAGCGATTGTTTCGCTTGCAGGCGGCTGAAAGTTAACGCACTGTTGTAAGGCGAATCGCTGTACATCACTTGCAAGCGATTCGCTTGAACATGGTAGGGCGCGTTGCAAGCCACGAATCGCTTAGCGAAAGCAAATTCATCGCTCAACCAGGGGTTTGCAATTGTTCGAAGCGCTTGCGCACTCTTCCAAAATGGCGGCACAACTACCGCTTGGTTGCCTTGACGCTTGTTTGTTTGTTGTATAACGCCGCACTCAGCAATCTTCCAGCTATATGACGGCGGTTTGTAAATAATCGAGTATGGACCAGACAATCCAGTGATTGACATCATGAGCATCTATCCATGTAATGATACCATGACATGCATCAACCATGTCAGCGAGCCTGACCACCCGCGTAATGAAGAACGTAATAGAAGAGGCTCGATGACGAGCTGATGAAATTTATGACTACTTTGATGTGGAGCAGACTGAGGATGATGGGGTGTTAGCTACCTTTGCTCATTTTCTCGTTGATCCAGTCAAGAATTCATTGTTCCGCTGTCAAAGTAAGCCGCCATTTTGGTTTGAGAACGAAGCGACCTGAGTCAGCGATTGTTTCGCTTGCAAGCGGCTGAAAGTTGGCGCACAGGGGCGCGTTGCAAGCCACGAATCGCTCAGAGAAAGCAAATTAATCGCTCATCCTGATGTCTGCAACAGTTCGAAGCGCTTGCCAACTCTTCCAAAATGGCGGCGCAACTAGCGTTTGGTTGCCTTGACGTAATGAAGAACGTAATAGAAGAGGCTCGATGAAGAGCTGATCGAATTTATGACTACTTTGAAGATGTACAGCAGGCTGAGGATGATGGGGTCTTCGCTGCCTTTGCTGATTTCCTCGTTGATCCACTCAAGAATTTCTTGTTCCGCTGTCAAAGTAAGGCGCCATTTTGGTTTGAGAACGAAGCGACCTCAGCCAGCGATTGTTAGCGCACTGTTGTAAGGCGAATCGCTGTACATCGCTTGCAAGCGATTGGCGCTTTGCAACGCACAGTTGTATAATGGATACACGTGGTTTCATTTTCCAAATAACTCTATTTGCTTTGGATAAACTAGTAAGTGTATCTAGTAATCTACATCACGATTGGAAAATTCCCACGGCGATCGACGAGTGAATGAGACCGTTTATCACTTGGCGCAGTTTTCTAATTTTGGTATGTTAACATATCCGTTTGAAGGATTGATATTCCAAGAAAATAATATGCATTTAGTTGAGTAAGGGAATGGAATGTTTTACAGTGAGAAAGCTGTCAAAATAGATCCAATATTAAACAACCTAGCTTTTTAATATTTTAGCTTCATCGATCGAAGCTGTCACTGACATGCAAGCAGGAACGAGTTTGTTGATTTTCACGTCTTCAGCATATGGTCGCACAGTTAACATAAACGTCTTTGGCGAGCATTCTGATTTCCCCCTCCCTAAATGGTACGGACAGGATATAAATCAGCTGATAGATCAAGAAAACCGAACTACTTTGTTTGCACAGCCTGCATGGGCGCTGGCTGGTCCGAGATTCAAAGCGCGGCTCTAATAGACTTTTTAAGGTTTCTTACAGTTGTCCTGCGTACTAACAACAATGCGCTTGAATTACCACAAGTTGAAGAAATTCTTTAAAAAAAACAATCTTGAGCGTTGGTGCTCTCATGTTTGCATACACAGCAACAGGCACATGTTGTTAATACGTATGCATAGAAATGTCAACAATGCTCATATTTGGCATATGTCAATATTCATGCGCAACCAGTTTCAGTTTGGTCGGTTAACGAGCGAAATGTCATGTATTTACACTTAAATACATATTTAAAGTGGGTAATAAATAAAATACCACACTCATTTCACG